AATTAAAATTATTTTAAACAAAAAGTCATGTGAACAAAATTACTGTAAAATAAAAATTCTGCAATACCAAAATACGGTAGCTAAAAATTTGATCATGTAAAAATTTGTATAAAAAGAAAATCTTGTCAAATTTTAATTCGAAAATTGAAAATTCGTCTTGAAAATAATTTTTTCTAATAAAATTCTTTAAAATATTCTAATTAATGATTTTTATAGAATAATCATGCGCCCCAAAATTAGGTGCTTTTTACTAATAATTAGTTATTTTTTTTTTACTAATTTCTGAAGCAAAAATTCAGCCTAAATTTTTAAAAATCTAAATTCAAATAAATTTCTAATTTTACTAACAATTAGTTATTTTTATCTAATCCAGATTTAGAGAGATTAAAATTTGAATCACACGAATAAAAAAATTCCAAGTCTGAAGATAATAAAACAGGAAATAACATAGGACAATGTATAAAATATTGCAAATGGAAAAAAAATGTAAGAAGAAGAATAATAGAAATTCTATAGAGAAAAAAAAATATATATATATGGTATCATAAAGGCGTGTCCTTCTAAAATTGCAAGGAAGTTGAAAATGCATTCTGCATATATATATGTTGGTAGTTCTCAAAGATTAGATTACGTTTATCATCATCCTTTTCTTTTTCCTTTTGTCGCCGAGTTCTGTATATACAAAAGATGCTGACGCATATAAGCAACATGATCACCATCAGCAGCATTATCACACCTAAGTAAACAATCCTACAACTCGGCCAAGGTCCACATGAGAGGAAATATCCAAAACATGCCTCAACTTGTTCAGAATGTGTTAAAAATATCCTTGAAACTAGATAATTAAATATATACATAAAAAAATTTATATTTATATAGAAAAAGAAAAATTCTATGGCTTTCGAAAAAAATATGTTTTTAATGGTGCAAACAATTTTCAAGTCGTAAATTTAATTATACTATATAGGACCTCCCATATGTGAGATTTATTTTTTAAATTTTTCTTTTGACTGAAATATTTTTTTCCGAAATCATTATGAAAAATAAAGAAAATATGTATTTTTTTTTATTTATTTTATTCTTTTATTTGTATAAATACACGAACTTCTACTGAAAATCATTAGTTATAAATTTCATTCCAAAGAATTTTGTAAGATATAATTATTTTTGTAGTCGAATTTTCATTTTTCGAATTAAAATTTAAAAGAATTTATTTTTAAAAGAATTTTTACGTATAACAGACTTATTAGCCGAAATTATTTACCGAATTTTTATTTGGCAGAATATTTATTTCACAGTATTTCTATTTACCCAATTTTTTATTTAAAAGAATTCTAATTTAACAGACATTTTTTAATTTATTTATTTAATTATATATTTATTTAATACAATCCGCATTTAAAAGAATTTAAAAGTATTTCGAATTTTTAAATTCGAGAATTTCCAATTTAACGAATTTTAAATTGTCCAACTTTTTATTTGCTCGAATTGTTATTTGATATAATTTAAAAAAAATCAAATTTTACATTTATCCGAAATTGAATAGCCAAACAAATTGACAGAAAGATTTTAGAGAGATTTTTAAAATTGCGCAATCACAATTTTCTTAATAATTTCTAATTAGCCAATTTTAAAAATTGCTCCGAAATCCTTTTGTTGATTTTTATAAAATTTTAATTAAATCGAATTTTAATTTATCAGAATTTTAATTCACTTATTTTTTATGTGATTCGAATTTTCAAATGACAGAAATTCTAATTCACCGAATTTTAATTTGTCCGAAATTACAAAAGTTCGACCAAAAAAGGCCAGAAAGATTTTAGCGCAATTTTTAAAATTGACCAATCAGAAATTATCAAGAAAATTCTGATTGGTTAATTTCAAAATTAGTAGACTTTAAATTGTCCGAATTTTTAAATGACAGAATTTCCAATTTGCCTAATTTTTATTTACACGAATTCTTATTTTTTCGAATTTTTTAATGCCACAATTTCTGATTTACCGAATTTTCATTTGTTCGAATTTCTTTTTCGAATTTTTGAATACCAAAAAATTCTAATTCACCGAATTCTTATTTGCACGAAATTTTATATGTTCGAAATTGCAAATGACCGAACAAACATAACCTACAAAACAATTTAGGTTCGATTTTAAAATTAAACCAATTTAACAAATTTCTTGCTAATTTTTTATTGGTTAAATTTTAATTCGTGTAAATGAATATTAGGCGAATTGGAAATTATGTCATTTATAAATGCGAGAAAATCAAAATTTGGATAATTTAAAGTTTGCTAATTTTAAAATTAACCAATCAGGATTTTCTTAAGAATTTCTTATTGGTCAAGTTTAAAAAATTCCGTCGAAATTGTTTTGTAGGTTATGTTTGTTTGGCCATTCGTAACTTCGGGCACATGAAAATTCGGCGCCTTAAAAATTCTATCAATTAAAAATTCGGAAAATTACAATTGGGTGAATTAAAATTTCTGTTATTAAAATATTCGAATCACATAAAATCTGATTTAATCAGAATTTTGTTAAATTAAAATTTGCCTTAATTAAAATTATTTAAAATAAAAAGTCATCTGAAGAAAATGAGTGTAAAATAAAAATTCTACTAAACAAAAATTCGGTAGCTAAAAATTTGTATATAAAAAGAAAATCCTGTCAAATTTTAATTCGAAAATTAAAAAGAAGCCCATGATTATCCCATAAAAATTATTAAAATAAGAATTTTCATTTTCTACAATTTTATTGGATATAATTATTTTTTATTTTAGATTCATCGAATTTTAATTTGTACGAATTTTTAATTAATAGAAATTTTAGCATGCCGAATTTTCATTGGTCCGAAATTACAAATGGCCGAACAAACAATAGACTGAAAAATTATGGCGGAATTTTTAAAATTGACCAATCACGATTTTCTCGATAATTTCTAATTGGTCAATTTTTAAAATTGCGCCGAAATATTTCTGGCGATTATTAGTTCGTAACTTCGGACAAATAAAAATTCGGCGCTTTAAGAATTCTTGACAATAAAAATTTGATACATAAAAATTTGTTTATATTCTGTCAAATGTAAATTCAAAAAATGAATTCTAATAAAATTCTTTTAAATGAATATTTTAACTAATTGATTTTTATGGGATAATCATGTGCCTCATTGAAAATTCGACAAAAAAAAATAATTACACGGAAAAAAAGGAAAAAGTAATTTTTACTATACTTTCAGAGTAAAACGGGAACTATCGAAGTTTCTGCGCATCTCTGGCAACTTTTACTCCATAAATAGTAAAATTTAGTTCAAAAATAGTAAAATTGACTATTTCTGTAGTAAATTTTATTGTTTCCGCAGTAATATTTACTATATCTGGAGTAAATTTTACTATTTTTGGAGTAAAAGTTGCCAGAGATGCGCAAAAACTTCGGACAGTTTCCGCCCTCATAACAAAAGGATATCCCTAGGATATCCATAGGATATCCATATCAATGGTCGATATCCTAGAATGGTCCCCTGGATATCTTGGGATATCCATAGGATATCCCTAGGATATCCAAACGGGCGGTCTGTAGGACATCAACAGGACATCCATAGGATATCCCTAAGACATCCACAAAATATCTATTGGATATTATATCGCAGGATATCCATGGGATATCCTCAGGATGTCCGTGGGATATTCTTAAGATATTCACGGGATATTTAATATCTCAACATATATTTTTAAAGGTTAAAATTGTTAAGCTAATATAATGAATAATAATATAATAAAAACAAAAATCTTATGAGCTTCTAATTTATTTTAAATGAAGATTTGAAACGCATTTTTCAAAGTTTTTAAATAAACTCATGCACTTAATGTATAATTAATATTAATAGTTATTCGTTATTTGCGGGGAAGAATTTATATTGTTTAAAGCCAATTTATTTTCTGACAATATTAAGCATATGAATAAAGGAATGAATCACGAATGAGAAAAAAATTAGTTAATAATTTTTCAAATTAAACAACTTTCTCGAAAAACAAGTTGCATTTTATTTTATTTATATAAAATTTAATTCACAGAATATTCTCACTCGTAGTCTCATAATGACTTTAAAAACAGTATCCTGAGAATATCTTCTTGACATCCAGAAGATATATTGAGAATATCCTGAAAATATCTGTGGGATATCCTGACGATATCTATGGGATATCTGGAGGACATTTATGAAAGTCTATAGAGATATCCAGAAGATATCCTATGGATATCCTCAGATATCCATGGAATATCCAAAGGATATCTTCTGGATATCTCTATAGACTTTCATAAAGTTCATAAAGTTCCATATCCATGGAATATCCAAAGGATATCTTCTGGATATCTCTATAGACTTTCATAAATGTCCTCCAGATATCCCATAGATATCGTCAGGATATCCCACAGATATTTTCAGGATATTCTCAGTATATCTTCTGGATGTCAAGAAGATATTCTCAGGATACTGTTTTATCCATTAAAAACCGCCGATTTTTTGGATATCCTTAAGAGATCCTTTTGATATCCTTAGGACATCCCTAGGATATCTGCGGGATATTATCAATATATCCCAAGATATCTTTTGTTATTAGGGCGTTTTACTCCGAAAGTAGTAAAAATTACTTTTTCTTTTTTTCCGTGTATTTCTAATAAAATACTTTAAAATAAAAATTTTAACTAATTTTAATGAGAAATTCATGTAACCCAAAATTTTGAATTATTACATACAAAAAACATTTTTTTTTTTTTTTTTGAATGAAAATCTCACGTGGAATTTCCCAATGACCGCACATGGGTCTCTACCGTTTTCCTTTCTGACGGTCTTCGTCCCCATGGTTTTCAATATACTGGACTGTTGCTTCCATAAAGATAATCTTGTCAGTCTTTTATCTTTTTAAAAAATTTGTTGGAGGGAGGGCAGCAGAGTGACGAAGTATATACACACGAAAGTAGGGGGGAAAACACACTGATCGTATGCCTTCCACCCGCCAGTTTGAAAGCAACCTCCGTCATGATCACGTCAGCTGGTAGTCTTTAGTCCCACTTCTTCTTAGGTGACCTCGTGCGCGTTTTCAAAACCGGTTCGTATAGGTAACACACATATACGAAGAGCGTGCGAAAGCAAAAAAAAAAAAAATACTCTTCTCACAGCACTTTGAAGATAAAAATGCTGATAATGATGAAAAGAAGATATGAAAAATTGAAAATTTCAAATCAAAGGAAAAAATGTTAACAAAAAATTATGCAAAATGATGATGAATATTTAAAAAAAAAAAAAAAAAAAATGATCATCATTTGGATAACATTCTCTTGGATCGTTTAAATTATTCATCTCTCAATTTTCTGGATTAAAATTTGGATTAAGAAAACAACACAATGGGGAAAAAAAGTGAATTTTGTGTTTGTGATTTGGTGTTTTGTTTTGTGTTGTTTTTGTGTTGTTTCATTGCAATTCCAAGCGTTGTGCGCGCAGAAAATTTGAAACCCGCTGGAATATGCGCAATGAATGGATGCAATTGTACAGTGAAGGCGCACCATTGGATTTTCGTTAAATGCGTCTTCTCTGATGATCAGGTGATTTTTTTCTTTCGTTTTTCTTTTAGTTTTTTAATTAGGTTTTAAGTTTAAAATTTTTTTTTATTTTTTATGAAAGTAAGTTTTTATAACGTTTTGGAATTTTTTATTCATTCGATGATTAATACTTTTTCCCTTTTTGAATATATCGGATTATGAATGTTGGAATTCTTTTGGTGAATTGAAACTGGTTTTTATGTGAGACTACCGGATTAAAATCTTTTCAGATGCATATTTCATAACCATAATCTCTTTCACGCTTTCGATTATTTTCGAATTATTATGATCACTATTGGTTAATTTACTAGCTATTAGGTTTAAAAAAAATGATGACACCTTTCTGAATATAAATCTCGTTGATTGTGATTGACGAATTAGAAAAAAAAATCTTTTAACATTCCAATTTATTAATGGAATCTAATTTAAGATTTTTAAATCGAAAATGAAAACTAGGGCAAAAAATAGATTTGATTTTAAATCAATATTTTTTTTTTTAAATTAATTTATATTATTAATAAAATGCCAAAAAAAATTGATTATGATCAATATTAATTATCAGCAATTAATTATGAGAATTATATTTATTAATAAAATGATTATTGATTATGATCTATAAAAATTAGAAATGAGAGAAAATTTAAAAAAAAAAACGATAAATATCGGAAAAATTGATTTGAAAACAAAATGAAAATCGATGATTTTGCTCTCTAAATCTGAATTAGTAAAAATGTTTACTAATTTAAATTAGTGACTCACTTTTTGCTTTAGAATTAATTAAATTTTACTAACTGTTAGTAAAAGTTATTAATAATTAGTAAAATTTTACTAATTGAGAAGCAAAAAGTGAGTCACTATTTCAAATTAGTAAAAATTTTTACTAATTCAGATTTAGAGAGTGTATATATTCGAAAATTGAGTTTAATATCGTGGTATAAAAAAATTAACATCATTCAGTTTGCAATAAATCAAATGCGGTTTTGATTTAAGGAGGGACATTGAAAATAATTGTTTTTAATCGTGACTATAAAAAACCCCCTTTCTTTGTTGCATCGATCAAACTTGGATTAACTCATTGTAATATTCTTTATCAGCAGGAGGTTCACAACTCTTATGATTTCATCGAGTGCTAATGAAAAAATTTTTATTTCAAAAACAACAATAGAAGAAAAAAATATTCATTAAAATAAAATTAAAACAATATTATTTTGATTAATATTAAATAATAATATATTATTTCATTGAAATTAAAAAAAAGTATGTATTTCTTATTTTTATTTTGTGCGTCTTCTTTTATTTAGAAAAAAAAGTATTTCCCCTTGTTCTTTTTATTCTTGTGGAAGAAGAAATATTTTTCTTACGAACGAACGAAAGAAATACTATTTTTACGTTATTAAAATAAACAAAAGAAGTATTTTGTTCTTTTTTTTGTATTAAAAACATTCAAGAGAAGTTTAAAAAGTAAAAGAGAAACAATTTGAAAAAGTATAACGATGATCTAAAAAAAAAAAAGAGAAACTAAGTATATAATTATAAAATTATATCTCGATCATTAAAACCCAATTTTTAAGAATTATGCACTTTATAGGTTAATGGCCTTTTGAAGTTAATGATCTCATTAATCAAAAAACGATTTTGTTTCCCGGTTTCATAAAAACAAAAGGCTTTCAAACAGAAATTTTTAAGATACGTACAAATATTTTCGAAATTTGAATTTATTTTTATTTCGTTGCAAAAAAATTCGTTGTCACTGCTAACTTCCATACGGGAATTTTTAAATTTAATATTTTTTATATAATACTAATATAATACTAATATGATAATTAATATAATATTAATATAATATTAATATAATATCAATATTATGTTAATATAATATTAATATTACATAATATTTTATTTAATAATAATTTAATATATAATAATAAAAATGTTGACAAGATGATAATTTTATATTTGAAAAATACACTCAGAGAAAAGATATACTTATTTTAGAGACAAAAAAATATTTATTTATAATTTCTACATTCGTTTTTAGTTTTTATTTATAATTTTTTTATTATATAAATTTGATTATTTATATATTTATTTATATATTTTTTAATCGTTTAAGGCCATGCGAAAATTAAATTAAAAACGAAAACAAATGTATTTTATCATTAAAATGCTGACTAAAAATAAACAAAAAAAAAAATATCGTTTCAGGCCATGTAAAACTTAAAATAAAAACGAATGGAGAAATTAATTATCATTAAAATCCAGGCAAAAATATAAAACAAAATATCGTTTAAGGCCATGTAAAACTTAAAATAAAAACGGAAAACGAATGGAGAAATTAATTATCATTAAAATCCAGGCAAAAATATCAAACAAAATATCATTTAAGACCATGTAAAAATTGAAATAAAAAATATTTATTTGTTTCAAATAAACTTGTATGTGGTTCTCATAAAAAATTTATTTGCGCTAAATAAAATTTTAATTGTGCTAAATAAATTTTTTTATTTGAAACAAATAATTTTTATATAATAAATAAATAAATAAATAAATAAATAATAATAATAATAAATATTTTGTTGAAATAAATATATTTAAAAAAAATTAAAATAAAAAAAAATATTTTTAAATATATTAATTTGAAAAGCCAAAACAAAATTAATAATAGTAAATAAAAAATAAAACCAAAAAAACAGAAATAATTTCATATTGTAATTTCAACAACTATCAGCCACTTGGGAAAATGCACTCTTGATAATTGGTAACCAAATACACACAGTGAAATCCATACATCACTGATCCGATTTCATATTGCCAATAAATGCAATTTCAGATTATACGAGTGTGTAACAACGTCAATTAAATAGTTGAATAAAATTTAAATTGTGCAAAAATTTATGGCACTCAAAAATTTTCCTAAAAAAAAAAATTTTATCCTCTTTATATATATAAAAAAAAGTGACAAAGAGCCTCCGCAAGGAATATTATATACCAGCAAAACATTTTTATATCACACTCTTCACCCCAATCATTCCTGGTTTGTTGTACTCCTTGTATATATATGAAAGTTTATTCAAAATCGGACTTAGCTTCATATTTCACATGGGATTAGCATATAAATCATCAGTCCATGAAACCAATCGAAAGGAAAGGTGTGAGAGTAAAATGGGTTTGATGGGGAGGGAAAGGGGTGTTTTTAAAACACTTCAAGGTTCACCTCTTCTATGTTGAACAGGTAGGGCAGGTTTTTTCACACACATATATATATATATAATATATATCTTTGTATGTTTGTTGCTTTTTCGTTCCACTTGCTGCTTCAGTTGCGCTCTACTGGATATCATCCCGACCGATATCATACAATTCAGTGCATCGTCCCGCTATATCATTTCAAGGTATCAATGCGCCACCGTTGAAAAATTTTTTCTTCCGCGAGACTGAATTCGCTATTTCAGAGTACAGACTAGATTTCAGCAAAAAAAAAAAATAAAAATGGATTACATCTCTGAATGGGGGGAAAAAAAATTGGAAAATTCTACGCAAAAATTGCATTTATAATATATATACAGAGAGAGAGGATTTTAAGAGCATTGTATAATGCATTTGAGAACCACTGCGGCGACAAGTCAACGACTCCCAAGAGCCATTAGAGTTCAGATTAGACGCTATAGGGCAGTCTCGGGAGATAACTCCTGAATAGCCGTGTGCGCAGCTATATATATATATAGGAATTCAAATTTAATTTTTCAAAAGCTTCCAGTAGCTCTCGTTGATATTTTATAATATATATTAAATACGTGACATTAAATTTGATTTATCGAAAAAAAACGTTGGAATCTTCTTTTAAGATATTTTTTATAATCTTCTTTCACCGACGTTTATTTTATAGAAATTTTTATATTTGTTCTGGTTTTATTATTTTTTGATAGTGTTATTGTTAGGGAAATAGGGGAGAAAATAATTAGATCCTGGATAAATAAAATTGGAAAATATATTGGAATTCGAAACAATTTTAACTATTAATTATTATTTAATTAATTAATAACGGAAAATTAAAATCGTTTTTTTTAATTCAATCAGAAGTTTTGGATTAAATTTTAATCAGTTTTGATGAATATTATTTCGAGGCATTTCAAAATTTGTTTCCGAGCCAATCAGTTTCTATCCGAATGTTAATTTTAACGTAACAAGGAAATATTTTTTTCATAATCAATATGTTTCATTTTGAAGCTGAATTTGAATTCTTTTTTTGTTTCCGAATAAATTCGCTTCATTCCGAAACTAAATTTTAATTCCTTTCAGTTCTTTTTTTGGTTCCGAATCAATTGATTTCATTCCGAAACTAAATTTTAATTCCTTTCAGTTCTTTTTTTGGTTCCGAATCAATTCGCTTCATTCCGAAACTAAATTTTAATTCCTTTCAGTTCTTTTTTTTTGTTTCCGAATCAATTCGTTTCATTCCGAAACTAAATTTTGATCCCTTTCAATTCTTCTTTTTCCCATGTTCATTGTAAAACTGAATTTTAACCCTTTTTAATTCTATTTTTCTGTTTTCGAATCAATTCACTTCATTCCGATACTAAATTTTAATTCTATTGAATCCTGAAATTTCATTTCGAACCAATACGAATCAATACAAAGCTGAATTTTAATTCTTTTAATTTATGAAATTTCATTTTGAACATAACCGAATTGATCCGTTTCAAAAATTCTTTCCGTATTATTCCAAATCAATCCGTCACATTTCAAAGCATTTAATCCTTTTTGGAATTCAGAAATTTCATTCCAAATCATCATTTCATTAAAAATAAAATTTCAAAATTTATAAAAGGTTTAAAATTTAGCTTCAAATTGATTCAAAATGAAATTTCAGTATTAACATTATGCTTGAAAATGAAATAAATTGATTCGGAATGACTTGGAAAGAATTTTGAAAACGGAAGGATTCGCATTTATTCGGAATGAAATTTCATAATTTAAAAGAATCAAAATTTAGCATCCGATTG